GTGTTACTGTTACATCTGGTCTTATTTCATAACCAGCCGATACGATTCGACGACATATGCTTATGACATCAGGTCTAGCTGTTAGATACAAAGGATCAATCGATTGCATAATTCATGTCATTCGTAACGAAGGTGTTACTTCGTCATTATCAAAAGGAGCTGGTGTTTTAGCTGACTTTGATAAGCTTGTACAACTTTATACCGGTACCAAATTTGATACTAATACTAGTGGTAGTGACTAAGACGTTTTTGTCCATTTATATCTTTATTCCCTCGACTGTAAGGAGGGTCATCGGATAATAAAACTGTTCAGTCAGACACCTTAACTAATAAATTGGATACTAAGTTTTAAGACGGAAAGAGTGCGGAGCAGCGAGTCGCGAGTGGCGCCTCATAGGGGTGCTGACGAGCGACGAGCTGCTCCCGGTGATGTCTTCTAATATACGAACGAAAAGTATCGAGCAAATCTGTATTTGAGGTTTATTAGTAATCGTATTTTATTCAACAGCATTTATCGTTCTGTTCAGAATAGGCAGACATACTTGACGACAGCAAGATCATAATAAGCACTCTTAGAAAGTTACCATTTTATTTGGATAGTAATTATCATTTAAAAACGTCTGGTAAAGAAGAAGAGCGACAGTAGTGCTCAACTTTGTTTTCAAAGCTATGAGATGAACGAGAACCTACGTCGCAAAATGATTTCCTTGTACGTTTCTATCTTTTTGTATTGGAAAGTTAAGTGAAAATTATTGTAGTTTGAGGTATAATTCAGTCGAGGGTTAAGCGAGTCTGCCTCGACGAGCGTTATTTATGTTTAATAAGAAGAATTCACAATAAACAAAGTAAACATAAAATGAAATATTTTTTTTCTCAAAGTTCAATTATATATTTCATATATTGATATGTTCGAATATTGAAATAATTCTGATGGTTGAACATCAAGCCATTTTTAGAACATATTGTTCACCAAGAAATGGAGATTTAATTTTCAAGTATCGTCATTGATTATTATTTGTTATCATTTCTATTTCTTCTATGTAAATAAAGAGAAAGAAACATATCTGACTTTCTCGCATTCTACTATTTATTTTCTTGGCAAATTTCTGCACAATTAGAATTGACTGAATGGAACGACATCTACAGACATATCGATGATGTTTTATATATTTACAGTTATAGAAAGAATTTATGATTAAAGAAAAGTTCTTCGAAATAAATTTTAATGTTTTAATATGTGAAAGTTTTATTTAGAAATATTGTTAAATCTTTTTCTTCAAGAACTAAAATTTAAATATAATTATCGATGGTATTGATAAATTATTAGATAAATAGCATATAAAATCATCAGATGATATTCATAAAAATATTGTTGAATAAAATCCAATTCTTCTATTAGAAATCTTTAGTTTAACTACATTTGATTGTAATTTAGAAACAATGGATGAAAAAAAAAACTTGAAGATCAAAATGAATTAACCAAAGGTTCGTAAGATGTGAGAAGTATTTTGAAAATTCTCATTTATACTTTTGAATTCTTTTAGAACTTATTTTTTCATTATTAAGAAAATATTTGTTATAAAATCGGTTGTTGAAAATGAAAAGAAAGAGTTGAGGTCAGCAGATTGATCTTTTTTCTAATTAGCAACAACAATTACGAGTTTGTTGTCGTAGTGACAGGATCGTATCGTCCTATTTCATTTCCATTTCTATCATAATTGATTTTTGCACAACGACAAGACATTGCTGCTTGTGGATAATAAGGATATCCTGTTTGCATATTAAACTCAGCTGACGATTCTATGTTGAAATGTAATCCTATCGCTGTTCCAGAATAAACATCAGTAGGTGATGCAGTCCAAGCTCCTGACATATAAAATCTTAATCGATGAGGTCCATCAATTGTAATCATAGTTAGATCTTTTCCTCCTTCGAAGCCTCTAATACCATTGTTGGCATAGTTACCAATTTTGTATCTGTTATTGTTGAAAACAAATCCAAATCTGGTTGCAGGATAGTTTGAGATTGAAGCTTTGCTTCCCGGAAAAAACTGATTGGCAGGAGAATAAGCATCTCTCTTAGCATGGTACACACCTGATGGGAAAAGTCCGTATTTACCTGAACCAGAAGCTTGATAACCATTATAATACCAAGGATTGCTTCCACTAGAGAATGGCCAGTAAGAATAAAAATTATTTAGCTGAGGTAATATAGAATGCACACTGGAACCGAAAGTATCAGGGATTCTCCAGCCTTCAGGACATGGATCGAAAGGTGATTTTTCTGTGCCGTGTCCCCATCTGTCTGTAAACTGCCCGTTTTCATCAGATACCCAGTCACGAACTTTTTTAAACTGATTTGTTTCATTGGAAGGATTTTGATATAAGAAGTATAACGGATTGTTCACAGAATATATTAATACTTTCTTAATTTTGTCTTTTTTTGAATCTGTAGATAAAAGTATTGAAGAATAGTCGGTTGAAAATTCTTTCGAGTAATTATCCATATAATTATCATTGTCAATAACTCCTGAATAAGGAATTATTCCATTACTTATCGGTCCGCTCTGAGTACGGATTGTATATTTGTTCATATTCCTATAAATACCCGATGTTGCACTTCCAAAATAATAATTGCCTCCAGCATTGAAGAACACAGGCAAAGGATCCTTTCTTCCCCATTGAAAATGCAGACCTCCACTTTTACTAATCTGAGGAACATAGCTATATTTTTCTGATGCACTACCACCTGCAGCTTCTACTGGGAATATCATTAAAGCTCCTAGATCTCTGTCCATAAAGGTGGTTTTCAACGGAACCCCAATACTTCGTACAGGATTTACAAAAGCTGAATTGGTAACATTTATAATACCTCCATTTTCTAAAGTTTCAGTTTCATAATCTACTGAACCAACTATTGTTTCAGGAGCCCATATATGCCAACTCCAAATAATAGGATCTTGCATTTCACCATTTGACCACTGACCGGAGTTTCCTAAATGGAAAGCAACAACAGCATTACCAAATTGATTTTCATTTAAAGTAACTTTTAGTTTAGCCGTTTCCTTAGTTCCATCGATTATTTGCATATTTTGGATTAAATCTGTATTGGTAGTCCATACTACAGAGCTCGATTTGACACTGCCTTGAGGATATTCATCTGTTGTACTTAAATGTAATTTATACATTGCATAAGCTTTACGCAAGGGAATTTCAATAACACGGTCTTTATCTGTTGGATTTTGTGTAGGCAAAGAGCTGTTAGTATACTCTATATAGCTGTTTGGTTCTTTCATCCAGTTAATTATAGTAGAAAACGCGTATTCTTCAGTTGGACTGCCAATGAATTCTGTTTCAAAAGCAGTTGGCATATAAGCGTTATTCGGGTCTTTGATACATCTGATTCCGCTTGTTTCGTGTGTGTTTCCATCGTGTGAAAGAGAGTTTATAGTATACCAGCCAAAATTATTGGCCGTTTCCTTAACGTTTCCTGGATCTGAAACATAACCTAATCCTCTTGGTCCATACCAAGGTCCGCCTCCAGCTGCACCGACTGAGAAAGTAGAAGAACCTAATGCACCATCAGATGAACCATCTTGATACACCATCTTAGGTGTTACTAATCCTGAAGTTTTTATACTGTTAATTGTAACATAATTAGGATAATATTCATAGTTTCCATTAATTGGAATTAATCCTAAATTACGATTTACAACGCCTGTGAAATCATATCCTAAACCAGGATATATTTTAATTCCAGGAAATCTTGTACTTGATGTTGAAAGATTAGAAGTAAAAGTATCGACATCATTCGCTCCTCCAATTCTTCCCCAAGGTGAAGCATTATTGTCATTGGTATGACTGCCAATATTATCATAGTAAGATGGTACTCTCCAGTTACCTGGGCAAGGATCATACGGAGATTTCATTGCATAGCGCTTACTTTCTTCAGCTAATTGAGCGTTGTTTAAATCACTTATCTTGCCACCACGAGTGTCACCCCAAAGATCCCATGCAACATTCTGTGAAGGATCGGCACTGTTGAAATCATTTCTGTATTTCTGTTTAGAGAACCATGTTGTTCGCATTTGATGATACCACGACTTATCATTCTTTTGAACAAACATATTTTCACCGTTATTAATCACCGTTTCATTAGATCTCTTGACATAGAGTGGCGGAATGATCATGTGGATTGGATTTTGAACAGAATAACGAATATTTCCGTTTGGAGTGTCATATCCCGTATTGTCTTGTGGATATAAGTTTCCTCTGTACTTTATTGGTAATGAAGAAGTTGATCCTGTTTTATAAACAGCTCCTGAATGTCTAATATTACCAATTTCTCCAGAAATCTCATACATCGTTCCATCTTTATGTCCAAGATTAGGAAAAGGATCTTTTCTTCCCCATTGATATTGTAACCCTTGAGATTTATGCCAATCATTACCTAGAAAGTTTGAGTTTGTTGCTCCAAGATTTCTATCCATCCATTTCCAGTCTGTAACAAGATTTCCATTTTTATCTTTCTCAAAACCTAAACGATAAGTACTACCATTCACAGTTGGATCATCTGTTACCCAAACGTGCCAAGTCCAGTAAATTTTATTATTTACTCGATAAGATACTACAGCATTTCCTTCTTTTAGTTTATTCACTAGAACTTTAATTTTAGCATTTTCACCTGTGCCTTCTAAAGCAATAGATTTGATCAATCCGGGTTCATCCTCCCAATACAAACCACCTGTAGCAGTACCAGATGGAATAGAAGTGTAATTTCCGTTTTCGTCTTTCATGAATTCACCACCTTTAGACCACATTTCATAAGCTTTCTTTACAGGAATGTAAAGTCCATCTACATCATTTCCATTTTTATCTTTTCCTGTGAAAATATAACTATTCGGTGCTTTTGTCCAATCTACTACGACATAATCTGAAATAGCTTCAGGATTTGTTGTAAAACATTGGGAAACATATTCCGAAGTATCGTCATACGCTGTAGAGTTTCCAAAAATCCCAGTATATTTAATGAACTTAAAGATTTCTTTTTCAATATCTTCCATAGACCGGATTGATGAATAGCCGATAATGTTTGCGAAATCATTTCGTAATGCACCCATACCATATAGTGTCATTTGAGAAGTATGTGAAATAATAAGATTTTCCGATCCCGGACCTCTGCGACTACCACGACTATTAGTATATCCAAAATATAATTGTCCATAATTACTTGATCCTGTTAGATTTGTAAAAGTTCCATCATGTTTATAAACTCTGAAGCCTGTAGTCATACTTGATACGAATACTACAGGTTCCTGATCGCTAATAAAATCTGATAATTTTTCATTCATAGTATTATATAAATTGAAATATCTGCTTCGGAGTTTGTTAGGATTTTTAAAGTCATGATATCCGGGACCGTTCGGTTCACCAGGCCACTGACTAAATTTGATAAAAAATCCATTTATTGAAAATTTTCCTGCAAACATATATACAGGATCTTCATAGCTGTATAAATATGGAATTGGATGTGTTGGACCAACATTATAGATAGATTCAGGAGTAGAGCCTAATATATCACTTGTTGCACCTTCATTTATCATTCTTATGGATTTTGCACCATTAGTATCGGTAAATAATTCTGCAGGAGTTTTAAGAGAAAAAATAACATCATCCTTCTTGTTATCCAATGAATAGCCTGTATTCAGTCTATTCCAAAAATGTGCAGAAGTTACTCTGTCTTTAACTCCGGTAACCAGTCCGTGTGCATCAGTATTTAAAGTTTCTTCCTTTTTAGGAGTCAACAATATTGTGTATTCATTTTCATCCAGATCACAATTAACTGCTGTATAAGAACCGAATTTGTAATGACTGACAGTTTTATCCCAAACAATACTGTCGAAGTTTGTAAAGTCAGTAGGAGAGCTTAGTTCGATCTTTACATTGTAAGAACTTGAGACAGATGCAGGTAGTTCAAATGCAGCTCTTACATTTTCATTGTATTGATTGTAAGAATAGAGTGTCTTACACCAGCTTGTTATCCAATTTCCTTGATTATCCTGATACTTGATTGAGAGCTTTAGATGAGTATTTGTGAATGGTTTCGTGAGTTTTCCTTCTATCACAACCAATCCTTTTTGATTCGCCTGCTGCTGGATAACAACTTGTGGATCAAGAACATAGACATAAGGATTCACAAGTTTACCCATTAGTTCTTCCCCGTACTCGTGCGTTTCAAATGTCGTCGACGCAACATGAACGGGTTTAATAAAGAGTATTGTAGTCAAAATCTTGAAAACAGATTTTTTCTGACATCCCACCGATACTATGTAAAAAAAACAATATTTCGATTACAAAAGTATAAGAGAATAGATTTAGAAGTTTAGTTAGACTCTTAAAAGCACAGTTTAAATGCAAACTTTTTAATACATACACGCATAAATCATCATTGTCAGGTGGAAGCCGACTTGAAAAACTAGTTTGATTTGCATATCGAATATTTTTTCAAATAAATATGAATTGACAATGTGAAAAAAGAATGAAATTCGTCTAGTTATATAGCATTTTTCCTAGTTCCAACTAAAGCATCAAAATCCCTTATTGATTTTGATTTAAAAGTAATCGATACTATCAGATTTTTCTTCTATGATTATTTCTCAGTAACCCATTAGTCATCTTAGATTGTCATTTAGTTATTCTCTTCCTTTTTTTAAAAGATTAATTTATTTTTCTTGTGACGTTTTGCTAGATCGATGTCTTCAACAAAAACAAAAAAAGGAAGAGTAACTAAATGAAATCAATAGTTAAGTTATATTTCATTCGATTACAATTGCTAGAATTACTCTCCAAAGTGATATATCACAACTTTAAAATTCATCGATATTCAATCCTTGAGTCTTGAGGGTGAGAATATGGAGTGTAGGTAGAGATATTTCTGTACTCTCGAAATCTACACCATTAAACACTGATATGAATTAATCAGCATTTATTAATAAATAGTCTTGTTATTGGACAAGAATTAGATTATAATTTTCTTCTATGAGCATGGAATTAAATGGTACATCAACAATATTATTTAATATTTTCAAAGTGATGATACAAAACGTCGGATAAATGTGGATGTTATTCAAAAACTACTAGAATAAATTCTTATTTATTGGATCATTCAAATGTAATTGCTTTTAATGAAGATAAAAATTTATATATTTTCAATTGAAATAATTATCGAATTTAACTTTTTGAAGGATTTGAAATCTTTTCAGATATTTTTTTGTCATTGATAGTTTTAAAAATAAATAAAATTTTGAATTAATCTTTTTAAGAAATATCGTGTAAATAGATCAATTGATTCTTTATTGTCGTGAAATAATAAAACTATCAATAATCAAATAGAAATTTTCATGTAAAAGTCTATCACATCCAGTTTTACTCGAAATTTTCAGAGATTATTTGTTAGTGTCATCGATTGTTACTTTATGACGCTATCTCATACATATTCTTTTTTTCCTTCATCCACATTTTATTCTAGTCTATACATGCATATTTTCATTCTTTCTTGTAGAATGTAGCTCTCTTTCGATCTTCTTTATTGTATCTTTTCTTTCATTTTTTGGCTCTCTTCACTGTGTTATTATTATTATTTTTTCATTTTTGTTTTTTGTTTCTCTCTCTCTATGTCTTGTTATAATTATTAATCGGGAAAAATATTTTATAATTTAATCTTTATTGCGTCATCTTCATAATAAAATAAATAGCAAAAATAATCTTTTTATTTCTTTCTACTGCTGTTTTGCCAGCAAATTGAAGCATAGATTGATCAACATAAAAATCTTTGTCATATGAACTATTCTGAAATTATAAAACGGTCGATATGAAGATACACTTGCATATCATTTAAACATTTAAAGAACGGGATCGTATAAGACCGTACATTGGTCCATTTCAAAATCAACTTGGCAAACACCAAAAACTATGCGGAATAAGACGGTGAATCTTTCTACACCAAATTCAATTCAATTTGAAACCCTATGAAAGGCTTCCAATGGACCATATTACTCGGTATTTTCATTCAAATTTTGCCCTATGATGATAGTGTATTTTTGTAAAAATATCAGAACAAAAATTGTTTCATATCACCTATCGAACAGGTTCATTCGAGAGAGTAGACAATTCTGCACAAAATCATATATGAACCATTGTGAAAAAGTATGTATAGGGTGAAGTTACGATGAATGAATAGTGTCTATGTGAATATTACGAGACATATCGTAGGGATTTCTCTTTTAACGATACACAAAATCACTTGATGATAGAGTTTCTTATACAGAAATCGATAGAGCTTTTCACGCGCTACAAAATGGTATAGTTCTTATCTTTTAAAAAATCTGGCTAAAATTTTTTTCCTAGGACTAAGCGTCATATTTTCAAAACTTAGTATCGAGAAACTCACCAGCAGGCTTACCAAACCTTCTGAATTGCTTAAGGATCTTCTGATTTTAGTCTTTCTTCAGTCGATAATCATTGACACGTACAACACATTGGAATGTGGAAAAGCTAAGAAGATAATATGGTCAGTATTTTAAAAATGTTACAACGAAGAAAGAAATATTCTGATTTATATGTTTTTTCTAACAGTGTCAGAGTTCCTTGAACTACGTATTTTTGATGAACTCTTAAATTTCAAGATAAAGTTCTGAAAAGCAAGTTGTAGAAAAAACTTACTAGCAAATAAAAGAAAGAAAAATGTCTTTCTAAAAGTCTAATTTTTGAATAACATGTAATTACTTCGAGGGAATAGTTGTTGATGAAGAATATTATTTTCAGACCACAAAATATGGGATGAAAGTAACAGTGAAAGCGAGAGATAATAGTGCGACATGAGTGTCTTTAGGAAATAAGAATGTGACGTCGAAAGTGATTGGTGATGTCTTGGTTTGATAAAGCAGCTGACTATTGATGAGACGTACGCGTATGATCGAGTGTGAGGATGATAGAAAACAACAAGAAGTAAAGACAAAGATAAAAGCTTGGATCAAAGTACCGCACATTGAGATTCAATTTGAGGCGTAATCCCAAATGTTTCTTCACCTGTCACCTCTGACCCGTAAGATAGTATTCCTTATATTTTTTGGATATGTTAGCCTCTGGCGACTCCTCATATCGGCTTTCTTTGCTAAAAAGTATTTCAATTTGATGTGTATGTGGCATTTTTCTAATACACGCTGTGGGTAATTTATGTTTAAAATCCAAGAATTCCTTACTAGTTCATCATTTGAGGAAGTAGGTTATTTGTCTTAATTTGATTTGGACTATTAAAACGATTTCATATTCCTACAACTACAATTCATCCGCGAGTGAATCTAATCTGGCAGAAATCGCGAAATAATTCTTGAAAATCAAAGAAAATTCTCCTGATTTTTCTTCTCATTTGGGAGAAGATTTTTCCTAATAAACTCCTGATTTTTTTTCAGAAATCCCCGATTTCTGAAATTTTCATTTGGCAACTCTGAATACTTCAAGCGATTATATCGATGCTCGTCTAGATTTAATAGGACATTTTCACAGTGCTTGGACGCCGTACTTTCACATCAATATTACCTCTGGGGAAGATAGTCCTCACTTTCAAGTAGTTGATACAATCCGAAAGAAAAATGGTCGTGTATGTGGATTGGATTTTGATGATGTGAATTTTCTTCTCTCTCGATATAGAGAAAATGAATCCGGTGCGTCTGTACGAAGTTTGAATTGGGCTAACAATGTTCCAATAAAAGGATTGCAAATAAACAAATGAATTAATTCTTCTATGTCAACTCTCAATTAAAATGCTTTAATCAAGTTAATATTCTTTGATTTCTCAACATGATGCACTCTCGAAAAAAAACACTTGTGTTTTTCTAGACGATGCTTGAATCTTTTTATCTCGGACATGTTCATTCGACTAGTTATAACAGAGAACGTTCAATCGAATACAAAGGTCAACAGGAACATGAGTGTAATCAATAATTTGAAGCAAACCAAAGGAAGAAAATAGTCATCGAGAATATGGAGAATGCCATCATATTATGTCCAATGTATTGACGAAATGTGCCAAATAATTTCAAATATCTTTAAGCAAATATACATTGTGGTAGCATATTATTTCATCAAAATGCCTTTTCATAGAATGCTTTTGATGATATCACGAATAAATTTGCGTACATCATCTGTCGGCATTGTGGACACACCACAAATGCAAGGTTTCTCAAGAATATCCGCGTATGATGAAGGTCGATTCTGCCGGTCTTTTCGCAATCTAAATAATCACATTTGTGATAACATGGAATAATATTATTCAAACTACTTACAAACTTGAAACAAGATCGTTTATATCATCGGATATCTTGGTTGAGAATTCCGGTTTCCATTTGTCAATCATCCATGCGATGTTATTGGGATCGGGCTCGGCGAATGGATGTTTTCCGTTGATCACTTCCAATAAAGTCATTCCGAATGCCCACATGTCACTTTCGATAGCACAAGTTTCGCGCTGTGGTGACCGATAAAGTGGATCACCGGTCCTCACTGTATATTCTGATCGTTTACTCAAGTCGCCAGTGACACCAAAATCACAGATTTTGATATCTCCATCTTTATTCAGTAGGATATTTGCCGGTTTAATATCTCGATGAACCAACTGTTTTTCTTCCATCAGATGAAGTCCAGACACAATCTAGAGAGAAAGTATTGGTAAATATACGAACTAAATAACTAACAATAATCTTGCATTGTAAACCAAATAGCATAAGAAAAGATCGAGAATGCGATTGTTGTGTTCGTTTAAATCGTGCATCACTTTATAAAACTTTTCCATAGATGTGTCCATACGTTCCATACAAATCCACAGTCCGCTCGTATCCTAGAAAGAAAGAAAATATGTTAAACAGAGATGTTGGAGAAATATTGATATATACTGGATCAATCATGGAACAATAATAAGTAACAAGTAGCGTTCGTCGTGCCGACTCACTTCACCCTCGACTGTGGAAGACATATATACTGTCTGCGTGTGCTATTAATGAGGCGAATCGATCTAGCAACTTCACGTACGATGAAACGGTACAACTTTTTCTCTTCCACTATTTATTAACTCTCGCAAACAAAATAGCTTATTGTCTTTGTAAAACAAACGTGAGGATATAAAAGGTCCTTTTTATTGTGAATTTATCACCAGTAACGCTGGTCGGGTACTCTCGATGAACGCTTGGCTGATTTTCTTCCTAGTGTACTCTTGTCATTAGAACTATACAAAAGATGTATCAACTCACTTATCTCGCAGTCGGTCGTCGGCGTCCCTTCAGTCCACCACTCCCGACTGCTCAATATTGCTCATAGCATATACACTTTCTTAATAGCAGGCGCTTTCCGTCCCCACCCTTCACACAACAAAAGCATAAAAGATGTTCAATGCATTATTCATGTATCCTACACATTTAATTTTACAGCCTTACATCCCGTGATAGCTATCGATCCATTTTATGATTTGCGACAATTATCAATCAGCCTCATCTATCTCCACGCGCTATTCGTGACGTTTCTGTCATTTTTTGCCTTCAATCATGACACAGATAGATACCATTCAAACTACTTTTCCTCAAGAGACCATGTGGCTAGTCTTCGTCCATGTTCCCAATACAGTATTCGCTTAGCCAAATTATCGAGTTAGTAAATTCTTAGTTGAGAACTCAAGGCATATCTCGACGCTATAAATATGCTCTTTCGTCGATCATTGGTTCGTTCGGAAAAGACTACTCTTCCAACGCCAAATATTTCGAGAAAAATGCCTTTTGATCTCTCACTCTTGGCCCTTGCCCTCGCCCACACGCGTCGCCAACAGGGCTCACATCGTGTCACCCCGCACGCAACATTGGCCACATCTCCTACCTTCGGCCATCACTGCCCGCACACAGCGCGCAGTAGCCCAACGTCGCCCAAGTTTTGCCACAAACAAACAGACAAACAATTTTCTTTCATACGACCCTCCGCACAGCCGAGGGAATTAATGTAAATTCACTTCAAACACCAATAATGATCATCAATTACTTGCAGATGTTCTATTTCTTTGTCTTTCCACAATTCTCATAGGTTCGATCGGTTTCCCTCAAGGGATCCGGACTACATTTAACACAAATCAATTTAACTGGCTTGTCTTTCACACTCTATTTCTCGCTTTCACCTCATTCAGTTGCGGTAATACACACGTTTCCATGTAGCTTTATAAATACTCCTGAAATTAGGTACAGTAGAATAAAAGCTGGAACATCGCAACCACTCAGACATCATTACCACAAACCTCCTCTCCATTTGAACACCACATCAGCTCCATCTTTCACTGCAAACAAATCAACACGAACCAAACCCAAACCAAACCAAAATCCACAATGTAAGCGAGAGAGCCGCCGGTTCGCGATTCTACTCAGCCACATCCACAGACATATTAATCGAATCGTCAACGGCCTCTATCCACGCCCCCAAACCCACCAATGACTACCCGAACACACTCCCCACGATCATATACCCACCCATGGTTTCACCCAACGTCCCCACCCACGATCATATACCCACCCATGGTTTCACTCAACACCCACACCCTCAAAAATGTTTTTTTTACCTTTGACCTTTGACCCTGACACAAACAAACAGACAGACAGACAAACTATTTTATTTCATATGACCCTCTCTACAGTCGAGGGAATAAGTGCACAAATACGGCCATTATGAAAACATCGGATCTACTATGAAGAACGTTTGAAAAATGTTTTTTTTTGGATTTCCGGGAAATTCGTCTTACAATATAGAATACATTGAATTTCTAGGAAAACGCTATAACGGATCATATGATCCTTTTCCATAAAAGAAATAAACAAACGCACCTTTTTTTTTACTTTTTAACTATCATCAAGATTTCATTAGAAAAAAAACTATCTTATAATTTATTTTTTCATGCATAAAATCATTCGTTCATGTATATAACATACTCATTTTATATTCTCAAATAAAAAGATTCTAACATCATTTTTTTCTACGCAAAACTAAATCAACATGACGAATATGATTAATCTTCTTATGGATATTTGTATTTTAATCTTCATATCATTCACATTTCTTATTTCATTATCAATAACTTCTATAATCATATATAATCGAAATCATATTCCTAATGGTCAATCAATATTACTTATTTTTAATACATATATTGCAATAATATTTAATTCTTTACTTATGATGATTACATATAGTTATAATTTATACGGTGATTTACATGAAAATATATCTTTTATTGATGATCCATGGTGTTATATACGTGCATATATTACTCATGTATCATTTTCAACTATCTATCATTCATTTATTTTACAAGCGAATTTTCGTTTTTGTCGAATAGTTTTATATAAATATAAAAATTTACAAAACTTTAAATTTCTATTTGAAGCTATTTTAATTCAATGGTTAATCGATTCTCTTGCTATGATTCCACCTTTTCTTACACATCAATTTGAATATATATCCGAATATCATTATTGTCAATTATTATATACAAATGTTCGTGGATTAGTAGTGATTTCTATATATACGTATTTTTTACCAATAACAATTATAGGAATAAGTTATTTTTATATTATTTATTATATAAAACGAACAACAAATCAATCAAGAATACAAAATCATCAACAATCAATTCAACGTGATATTATTGTTTTTCGTCGAATATTTATTTTAATTGGAGTTGTAGTGTCACTTGCATTTCCTGCTATGATATTACTGATGTATTATCTTATTAC